TCACCCAGACTGTGTTGGATGCTAATCAAATTCCCCTGGTTGAGTTTTACCTTTTGATTCCTGGTATTCAGGGAGCTTGAGCAACAGTGAAGAGGGGAGGCCACTCATGATCTTTGACAATTCCCCCAGATCCCCAGATCAAATTACTGTGCTATTTTGAGAGTCTCTAATTGGCAGGGAGACATCATTCCTCCCCCTTAAGAGCCACAGGGATGGAGTAAGAGGGTAGGGTTGGGATCTAGAAAGCCATCCCAGAGCTTCAAGCGGGTGGGGCCAGGGGAGAAAAGCGGGGGGATGGTCAGAGTAATCCAGATAGGATAATGTTCTCCATTTCCCCATAGTGATCTTTAAATAGAGCTTTTATAGCCACACAGACCAAGGTCTGTGTTGCTGTACTCTTCTCCTCACCCTCTGCTCCCTTCTCAACTCTCCCCACTCATCATGATAATCATCATCGTTACCCACTGTATTTCCCCTGGCTTAGTTCCAGGCCATGTTCATTCCACTTGGAGGCTTGCTACTGACAGGTGGCAGTTAATCCCAGACACAGGCACCATACAATCTGACAATATGCCAGGGAGAGGTGGGCACTGTTCAAGGTGACCAGAGCTAACAGGGAAGAATATAAATGGCTCTAATTAGTCATTATGTCAAGGATAGATGGGTAGTATTAATACTAGGCCCCAACAATGGGGTGACTGAAACACCCACCAGCGTAGAGGGCAAAACTGGAGTCCACTCAGGAGAGCTTCCAGTCAATAGAGGTAGATACGCAGATAGACCATCAGCTGACTCTTGAAGGAAAGCAGAAAAACCGAAGACCCCTACTGTTGCCCTTAGGGAACGGAATGAGAGAGTCCCAGGGACAGGAAGCAGTGGATAATAAGGTGGGGGGATTGAATAAGGAGGAGAAAAATACAAGGACAGGAAAAGATCAGAGCCATATCCCTTCTAGTATAAGGGAAAGGTATAGGAAGATTTGATACTCAGACTTCAGCTCTCTCCTGCTCCCACACTAGCCCTCCAGTTCAAGACTGAAATCCACATAGGTTGCAGCGACTGGTCTTCCAAAGGGGTCCTGGAGAGAAGAGATTCAGTAAAAAAGACAGGAGCCCCAGAGCCCCAGAGGTTGAGGTAGGAAAGAGCGTGATGCTAAATTGCCTACTGCTGTAAGAATATGTTTGACATTTAGTTGGTTCCTAATTAAACAACCCAATATCAAACATATCACACAGAAGCTGGCAGGAGAGCTTTGATGGTCCTCTGCCTTCCTCCCCACTGCAAAGAAAGGACAGAGCAGAGACACCAGGCACCAAGCATGGCTAGATGGAGAGCCATCTCCTTGGGGAAGGGCACTGACCCTTGCTCTTTGCCTCCCAAGACAGCCAGCTCTTATTCATCTTCTCTTCGTGCCATCCCGGTCCCGGCTCCTCTCCTACTAGTGCCTGGCCTTCGCTGGATCACACTGGCCTAAACCAGGAAGAATATCTGGCAGGGCTCCACATCTGGGCACCTATCCTTCCCCAAAGCTCCAACACGGAGCTTCTCCCTATCATGTCACGGCCGCAGTGCCCAGAGGATCAGCAGTGTCAGCAGGTCCTCATCAACCTTGCCACCTGTTCTCAACTCCCCTCCTGTTGCCCCAAGGCTTTGCCAGAGTGGGGGTGAGGACTTGCACATCCTGCTTTCCCTTTCCAACACCCACACAAGGCTGCTGACGACCTTTCAGCGGACACCTTCCTGGAACCCTCCTGCTCTTAAGTATGACAGATTAGTAGCCATGAGAAACTTCCAGAAGGCTTGGCTGCTTCTTCCCACCATCTTGTCCCTTCTCACCTTCTCCCCATGTCCTCCAGGCATCCTCCTTAAAGCCACCCTTGGGTGTCCAGAAGAGAAGAGTGACCTGTCTCACTAGCAGGCTCCAGCCTGGGCTCCAGAGAAGAAATATGGTCTCTCCCGCCTGGCGGAATTAGAAGTAAGATTTTAGGAGATCATAGGGAGGGAGGAAACCCCCTCTGCCAGGAAACAGCCTTCAGTCCTTGGGACTCTCCTCCTCTTCTGGGGCTGCAAGCTCCTGGGCTGGCTTCTCTCATGGTCTTCCCTCACAGGGATCCAGCCTGGTGCCTGCTTTTCTGGGAGATTTTTCTTCTGAAGAGAACCAGGTCTGTTGAATATCATGTGGCAGGCAGATTCTTCTCTCTACTGTGGCAGAAAGGAGCCCGAGTTATAGCTACAGTGGTGGGGTGGGGGGCTTGGGTGGAAGTGTGGGGTGGGAGGAGGATGCTCTGCTTCAGCCCCCAGGCCTGTTCCATGTGTCCTTGTTCCCATTAGGCTGGACACCTCCACACCCCCTCAGCACACACACACACAAACACATATGCCAACTCGACAGTGCCCTTGGTCTAGATCGATAGCTTGTCCCAAGCCCCAGTCAATTCCTATTGTGTGGCTCTTGCCTTCCAGGGGAAGACTAACAAATGGGCATACAAGCTCCAAGGTAGGCACCTGTGGTGTTGTCTTATGGGTTTCAGTCTGTGTGTAATTTTTACTTTCTTGACCTTCCTTTTTATCCTTAACACCCCCTCCCCCAAGTTCTAGTTCCCTTCTCTGGGAACCTTGATTGTCCTGGAGAACCACAGGCTGGAGGGAGAGAGGCTGGGAAAGGGACTAGCAGGAATTGAAAGGACTTTAGTGTTTGGGGCACTGGGGAAACAGAGGCAGAGACAGGAAACATTGATGTAGGGGACGAGTAGCTCTCTTAGGAGGAGACTGACAGGATGGCATATCCAGGCCGAAATCTCAGATTGCCTTTGATGAAAGCTTTCTAGCTCTCCTGGAAGTAACTTCTGTGTAGCCATTTCAAGCAAGACTGAGTCCTTCTGAGCCTGAGGAGTTGGGTAAGGCACCAGCCACAGAGGGAAAAGGGGCTGGGTGGGTATGATGGGGTGAAGTACTCAGTTGATGTGATGAGAGCGGACAGAGTAGGCAGAGAGGATCAGAGGAGATGGGCTCCGGAGGGGGCCAGACTGCCAATACTGGAGCCAGCCTGGCACTGACAAGCCCTGGGGAGAGAGGCCAAGGTCAGGGATCAAGGCAGAGGGGGCTGGGCATTCTGTGGGCCCAAATGAACAGAGGAAAGAGGAATAAAAGGGGTTGATGAGAGAGTGTGGTGGGAGGTGGGGGGGCAGCCAGGTAATGGAGAGGAAATAAAAAGAGAAAGACTATCACAGGGCAGGAAAACATCATTATGACTTAGCATTTATTGGATATTATATGCCACTTCTCTGCTAAGTGCTTTATTTAATCTCCACAGTGATCCAGTGAGGTAGGCGTTATCTCCATTTTACATATAAAAAAACCCCTGTGACCCAGAAATTTAGTTACGTGCTCAAGGCCACACAGGCAGTAAGTGACAGCCAGAATTCAAACCCAGCTCTGACATGTGGAAGCCTGTTCTCCTAACGCCAGGCTATGCTGTCATATATAAGAGGCGGGGGGCAGCTGGGAGACAGATACAAGGGAAGATAAAAGGAGTGAAGGCAAGGTGGACCCGCAGGGAATAGAGGGCGGGGGAACAGGCAGAAGGAATGGGAGGCTCAGCCAGGTTTGCGGGTCAAATCCAGGACATGTGTGTGGTTTTTCTCCTATAAAACTCTCATCATACCTGTCATGATTTGGTCAACGCCTGCCTCCCTGACCAGCCTGTGAGCTCCGTGTCTTGTTTGGTGTCACAACACTTGAGTAGTTATTGACTAAAGATAAGACAGCTTGGGAAGCAGGGCTGATGGGGACTGGAGGATGAATGGATATATAGAACAGAAAGACAGGCCTGGGATGGAGAATGACATTTGAGCTGCATAAGGGGGCTGGCCAGGGGGCCAGTAGGGGACCTGTGAAGGGCTTGGTCACAGGGAAATCTCCTAAGAGGGAAGAGGGAGGATACCTATTGCGTGCCAAGCGCTGGGCTTGCTCTCTACATAATCTTATTTAATCCTCATAATGTTCCTCTGAGATGGGTATTATCCCCATTTTCAGAAGAGAAAATTGAGGCTCAGAGAAGTAACTTACACATGGTGACACAATTAAGAGGTGAAGTCAGACTTTTAAAGCACACCTGACTCCATAGCGTGTGTTTTTCTCTTTATACCTTGCTGCTTCTCTGTGCTCCTCGTCAGTGGGGTGTGTAGGGAAAGGAGAAAGGAGAAGCTCTGAGCTAAGATGAAAAATGCATATTGAAGGACAGAGGCAGACTTGGGGGAGGGGGGAAAGAAAAGGTGTGAGTTTTGCAGTGCAGACAGAGCCACATGGAGTTTGAGGGCAGGAAACCATCAGTGTGGAAAGGATGAGTAACCAATGAGCATGCAGATGGCAAGGTGAGGGAACAGGGAAAAGTACGTATGATGGCAATTACATCAGAGAGTGATGGCGTGTTCCTGCACCTGTTACTGGATGCAGAGTGGGAGTCTCTCTGGCTTGAGATGTCATTTGTATATAAAGCGGATCTTTATAAGTAAAGTTCTCTATGGCCTATAGATGCAAATGATTAATCAGTACTTTTAAGAATTTTGAATGCATTTAGATTTCACATGCTCTTTCCAGTCCGCCATAAATCCCACCATCCCTTATTCCCTTATAACTGCTGGACTCCCGAAGGCATTTGAGTCTGGAACCCTGTTATTTTGCCAAGGTGGGAATTCAGGCAGAAATCCAGATGAAAGAGACTTGTCCAAGGTCTCACAATAACTGCCAAGTCAGAACCTAAAATCCAGGCCTACTGACATCAAGCACCATAGTACCTGTGGATTAGTAGCTATATTCAGAGCTATTTGTCCAAGTATACAGAAAAAATCAGTGGAAGTGAGATCAGAGAGGTGGTGAGCAAAATCCAGAAAGCTCTATTAAGATTATGGCAGCTGTGAATAAGCACTTTTGAAATAGATCAAGATTTAGGGCTGAAAGAATGAGCCAGTAGTCCAGGTTTGAACCTTTAAGAACTAGCTTTATTTGTTAAACCAAATCAGGATTCGTTTCTCACATTGTGCCTCTATCCACCTCCCCTCCCTCCACGTACATCAACACTGCATATGTCATTCTGACCACAAGGCGTCACTCTTGTTTTTACCATTGTTTCATAGATTGTTTCCCCTATAGCACCAGGGGGTTGACAGGGGCACCAGAGGTGAGAGTTGGAGCACTGTCTTGAGTCCTGGGCACATAACTAGATCCAGGTGAGTTTTGGGAAGGAAGCTGAAGGTGGTGGGGCTCAAGAAATCTAGGTTAGCAGGTATGGTGAGAATGGAAGGACAATGTTTCAAATGCCATTAGAGTCTCTCCACATAAAAAGCTTTGCCCATCTGATTTAGTTCCTGTTGGTACTGCCGATGCTCCTTTTCAAACAGCTGGTGCAGGGCAGCTTGACGGACCTGGTGGGGAGGGGAGAATAGAGTGTCATGTTTGCCCTCTGTTTACCCACCTTTCTCATTCGTTCTCCCTGGTTGCTTTCCCATCACCTGTGTTCTCTTGGATCTGGACTTAGCTGTGACATAAGCTAGGCAGTAGCATAGAGGCTGAACCATTGGAGGGGAAGCCTACCCATTTTTTTTCCCCATGGGTGAAGCTCCAATGTTCAGCAAATATTTGCTGAGAACATACCATGAACCAGAAACTTTTCTAGGCACCTTGGATACAAAGATGGTGACATGACAGCAATTGGGGACTCCAGGGAGAGAGAGGTTCCAAGAGGCAGGTATTAGGCACTAAGAAGCAGTCTTACCAAGGCGAGAGGAGCAAAGACTAGACTGCAGTTTGGGACTCTGCAACTGGATGCAAAGAATCAATGAAAAGGAGCTTTGGTTTTACAGTTAAAGAGTTGCTGCTCTGGTATAACGGCAGAGACTAAGAGCTTGGGAATCCCAGTGGGCAAAGGCACAGGGCAGTAGGGGCTGAAACTTCAGGTCACCCTTGCTAGAACTCACCATCAGTAATTGCTTGCTGGCCAGTGCCAACTCCTGCACCATAGTGTCCTGCATCCTTAGGATGGCATATGGGTTTCTCCTCTGGCTTAATGTCATCTGCCACAGACAGTGAGTGTGTGAATTACGCCACCTGTCCCAGGCAGAAAGGTAGGGGTTGAATGGGTTAAAGTCAGGAGTGGAGACAAAAACGCCATCAGTGAGGCTGCTTCTTCACCAGAACTTCTGTGCCATCGTGAGAAGACTGCAAACTCCTTGAAAGGATAACTAGAACTGACTTAGAACCTAGTATATTATGTCACTCAATCATCATAATAACCATGTGTCATAGATATTAATTTTTGCATTATACAGACAAGGAAACTTTAAAGTTCAGGTGAGTTGCCCAAGGTCACTTAATGGCAGACCTGGGTATCAAATCCAATCTAAGGATTAATTCCATCCATCATACCAGTGATACTCAGTCCTGGCTAGGTCTGAATTAAGGTTTTCTAATATATAAGAGGAATATATGTGTCTCTCACACACACACACACACACACACACACACACATCCTCTGTTCAGATAATCCTGTTGACATTTTTTTTAAAAATCAAGTATTTTTTACAGATGGCTGAAAAATTAAATTGATACAGAAATAGATATTAAACGAAAAGTGAAAGCTTCATTCTTCTGCCCCAGTCCTTCTCAACAAAGTTATCAGTTTCCTGTGTATCCTTACAGAAAACTTCTCTATATCAGCAAGTGTTATCTTTTAATTTTTTTTAACATGAAATCATATGTTTACATAAGCAGTATTACTTAACAATTTGGACTTTCCGTATCAGCACAAAGAGATTTACTTTGTTCTGTTTAAAGGCTGTCTAGTATTTTTGTATCATAATTTAACCAGCTACACGTTGTTTCTAGCTTTTTTATTTTTATAAACAATGCTGTCGTGAATACTCATGTATGTACATTCTAGTGCTTTTGCAGGTATATGTGTGTAAATTCCTAGAAGTAGATAGAGTTGCCAGTTCAAAGGATATGTGAATTTAAAATTTTGATAGATTTCATAAAAAAGGCTTCATAAAAAAGGCTGCATCAGGGACTTCCCTGGTGGCACAGTGGTTAAGAGTCTGCCTGCCAATGCAGGGGACACGGGTTCATAGCCCTGGTCGGGGAAGATCCCACATGCCGTGGAGCAACTAAGCTGGTGCACCACAACTACTGGGCCTGTGCTCTAGAGCCCGCGAGCCACAAGTACCGAGCCTGTATGCCACAGCTACTGAAGCCTGTGCGCCTAGAGCCCGTGCACCGCAACAAGAGAAGCCACCACAATGAGAAGCCCATGCATTGCAATGAAGAGTATCCCCGCTCACTGCAACTAGAGAAAGCCTGCGCGCAGCAAAGAAGACCCAACGCAGCCAAAAATAAACAAACAAAATTAAAAGAAAATAGGCTGCATCAATCTTGATTCCCACTAAAACTATATGCATTCTTGTTACCTCACATCCTTGCTACCTCTGGATATAACCTATGAAACCTTAAAAAACAGGCTTATCCTATCTAATCCCAGACCATCTTAGAATCTTCTGGGTTAAGACGTGTGTTTTTTAAAAAAGCTCCCCTGGGTTTCCCTGGTGGCGCACTGGTTGAGAGTCTGCCTGCACACGGGTTCGTGCCCCGGTCTGGGAAGATCCCACATGCCGCGGAGCAGCTGGGCCCGTGAGCCATGGCCGCTGAGCCTGCGTGAGAGGCCACAACAGTGAGAGGCCCGCATACCACAAAAAAAAAAACAACAACAAAGAAAAGAGCTCCCCAGGTGATGGAGATATACAGCCTAATCTTTTGAGTTTTCTCATTCATTCATTCAATAAATACCTACTGCATACCTACCACATGGTTAGTGCGATGCTGGGCAACAAATACTTGAATTTTCCTTAAAAAGTAAAAAAAGAAAACAACAAAAACTTGCTCCAATTTTCCTTCAGAGAATGGGAAGCAAGGGACAATAACCATTGCCTACGTAGCCTAACCGAGTGGACACTAGGAGGCTGATCTCTGCTTGTGAGAACAAGGACTGCTTCTTGCCCCTCCCATACCTGTTTGCATTCTTGAGGAGCCCCTAACAAGATGGAGCAGATCTCAGAAGTGGCTTCAGGACAGGAGGGTGAAAAGGTCAATCTGAAGGCTAAGGGAAGGGATAGAAGCAGAGATTACCTGTCCACCATCTTCTTAAGTCCCAGGGCCCTTTGAAAACTCTGCAAGAAAAGGGAGTTCTGTTCATCTGCCTTGATCTCCAGTACCTCACTCAGTACCCTATCATAGTGGGAGACACATAGACCTTTCCCTTTAGAGACAGGGAGTAGCCAATTTCCTAGGGGAGGTGGGGAGAAAGTCCTACTCCTTTCAGAATGGATCAAAGGTAACATGCAGTGGTTAGTATGCAACAAATATCTGAACACCTACTATGTGCCAGACATCATCTCCCACTCCTGCTACTACCCTTCTGTTACATCTGTTCATTTCTGGTAAATTGATCTGGAAACCTCATCCAGGGAAACGCATCCAAACCAGCCCCTTTTCCAACTCTGCATACTTCTACTTTTACCATCTTTTCCACAGACATGTCTACAAACTTGCTTGATGTAGTCTTAGGAGACTGAACAGGCTCTACTTTGTTTTCAGTCACCAAGGTTTCAGTAGTCATGGCAACACTTACACCTCCAACAATGAGCCTAGGCCTAGGAGTTGATTGGTCACCTGGCCTGTTGCCCTGGAGACCTGAAGGGAATCCCGGTTCTCCAGCCTTCTATTAGTGACACAGGCAATTCTATGAGCAAGGACCACAGTCACATTTCAGGATTTCTTCTTTTGTGGTCCCAAGGAGTATCTGTATGGTTCTAGGTCCAGAGAGCATATCACATGCCTGTTTTATTAAAAGACAACTATAAAGGAATGAATCATATGCTTTATTCTTTAATTGTTCATTTTATTAAATAGTTTATATAAAGTCAGACCAATATATTGGTCTGACCATTCCTTCACACTACCCCACACATGAGGAGGGATGGGATTATGTCAGGTGTCAAAACATTCCCTTTTCACTTTATTCATGACAGTATGGAATGAAAGTAGAAGGCAGATCCTCGCACGCCAGGGAAGTTGTGTTAATGTTTCAACACATCCTGGTTTAAGTGGAGCACCAGGGTAAGCTGTTCCACATACCACTCATGGCCTCACCCAATCTCCCCACAAGTTCCTGTATACCTTTCCCACCAATGAACTCTTAGATGTCTCAAACCCAAATGGTTCCCATTCAACTGTGTTCGAAGGGACAGATACAGAAGACAAGACACCAAGTCTCATCATCCCAACTCTCACCCTTGGGATTATTTATAGTCTGGAAAAGGACAGATGAACCATGATTAAAACCAAGTGAGGGGGCTTCCCTGGTGGCGCAGTGGTTGAGAGTCCGCCTGCCGATGCAGGGGACACGGGTTCGTGCCCTGGTCTGGGAAGATCCCACATGCCGCGGAGCGGCTGGGCCCGTGAGCCATGGCCGCTGAGCCTGCGCATCCGGAGCCTGTGCTCCACGGCGGGAGAGGCCACAGCAGTGAGAGGCCCGCGTGCCACAAAAAAAAAAAAAAAAAAAAAAAAAAAAAAACAACCAAGTGAGGATTTTTAAGGAAGCTTTAACAGAAATATTAAGAAAAACATCTGAATTCAACTCCAGAGAAAAGTGCTACCAAGGGAAAATAAAGTCTTAACTGATGTTCTGAAACTGGCCATAAGAGAGGGTGGGAGAATGATCTCTAGGGATGAACTCTAAGAGCTCTGAACTTAACCAGAGCTTCAGCTGATCCAGTCCAGGCTGCTGAGCCAGATTGACCTGAGGGCTGCCTGGCAAGCACACTGCAGTCTGTCTGGCTTCATCAACAGTGAGAGTTCTTCAGCTCCATCACAGAGTACTCTCCAGTGTGTTATAGTTGTCCTTAAAGCTCTTCAATTCGAGGAAGTGCTTGGCACGTTTACTCTTCTGACTGGAGGGGAGGTATGTCACCTGGATGGTTGTTGGGGAGACTTCAGGAGACTGGGTTAGGTCTTTGGCTGCTGACTGATGTTGTCGCTGAGAGCTCCCACTTCGGGCTTTGACCCTGAAGAAAACAAAGAGGGCAGGTCACGGACAGAATGAGGACTAATGGAAGAAAACAATTCAAGGCTTATCCATCCTATAAATGCAGCTGTAGCCACAAATGGTCTCTGTCCTACCTTATAAACTAGTTACTAAAATCTCATCTGGTAGCCTAGAAATAGCAGAGAAACCAATTTTCCCACTGAGTCCCTGCCTCTGACTCAACCTCTTCTTCATTTCACTGTGCTTAAAGAAAACTTTTAATTCTGCTGATCCACCTAATGTGTGCATGCCATTAATATACTCCCAGTCCCTTGAAACAACTGAATAACAAAAAATAATATTGAAGTTAACTACTGAGCACTTATTAGGACATTAAACCTGGTGCTTTACCAACATGTAATTTACTAACATCCCACTATTCCTATAGGGTGGTATCATCCCCTTTTGCAGGTTAGGAAACTGAGGGTCCATCCAGTAAGTTGCCTGAGGTCACAAAGCTAGTAAGAGACAGACAGCTGGGATTCAAACCTTAGTTTGTCAGATTTCAGAGCCTTTACTCTTCAATATACTCATTGAAACTTTCTAGAAACTAGAGATCAAAGAAACTAAATTTTTTTTAAATTGTGGTAAAATACACATAAAATTTACCATCTTAACCATTTTTAAATGTTTACAGTTCAGCAGTGTTAAGTACATTCACATTGTTGTGCAACTTTTCATCTTGTAAAACAAACTCTCTGCCTATTAAACAACTCCCTATTCCCCCTTTCCTCCAGCCCCTGGCAACCACCACTCTACTTTCTGTCTCTATGAATATGATTACTCCAGATACCTCACATAAGTGGAATCATACACTATCTGTCTTTCAAAGAAACTGAATTTTGAACAGGCCTCCTGCCTGACTTCTAGACCAAATGGTCTTTTCCATCCTTTCCACATGTTCATTTTTATTAGTTTTCTAAGTAGTTTTTACTAGAATCTTTTGTCTTTAGAACAAGGTAGTCTATTTTTAAGAACAGAGAGAAGACAGGACAGACATACCCCTTATCTTCTGAGAAAGAGCCATAATCAACACAGCAGAAAACAGATGTACTCTTTTCATGGCTGGTGACTAACTTTTTATTCTAGACTGGCTTTCCCTCTTTACTCTTTCAGTTACACGTATGCATAAACAACATAATGAAGGTTTGTTAGTACGTATTTAAAATGTTCCCAGTGAGGGCCTTCCCTGGTGGTGCAGTGACTGAGAATCCGCCTGCCAATGCAGAGGACACGAGCTTGATCCCTGGTCTGAGAAGATCCCTCATGCCGTGGAGCAACTAAGCCAGTGCGCCACAACTACTGAGCTTGCAGTCCAGAGCCTGAGAGCCACAACTACTGAAGCCCACATGCTCTAGGGCCCGTGCTCCGCAACAAGAGAAGACACTGCAATGAGAAGCCCGTGCACTGCAACGAAGACCCAACACAGCCAAAAAAGATAATAAATAAATAAATAAAATACATAACATAAAAAAGAAGAATTGTGACGTGGCCATAACATAAATGGAAAAAAAAAAAGTTCCCAGAGAAAAATCATGATGTCTCTTCTATAACACAAGCCCTCAGCAACTGATTCTTTAGTGACACCTTTTGTTTCAGATAGGGTTACTAATACTTTAAGTGGTAATAAAAATGGTTGGCATTTAATTCTTTTATCGAACCAAGGCACAAAAGGATGACACTGGGGCCCTGAAGAGAAGGCATCTTTGTGTGCTGAAAAACTTTATTTTATTCCCTTTATTGGTGTAATAGGTTATACCAATTCTGACATTTTACTGAGTTGGACAAAAAACAAAAACAAGAGAAAAAGAGATGCACAATAGTAGGAGAAACTTCTCTTATTAGCTTGTAGAGCAGCGTCTGCTTTCCAATGCGAGCAAGAAGCTGCTCTAACAGTCTAGGGCTTGACAACTCTTATGTTATCATAGATTTTGTTCACAGTGCTTTTGAAGGTCATCTCACTGTGGGAACAGTCCAGCACTACCTGTATTCTCTAACCAGCTCCCTTTGACATGTTCCCCTCCAAACTCACACTGTGGCCAGCTCACTCAGGGCCTCCTGATAGCGCAGGTACTCACTCTGGCCAAAGACCTGAAGAAAGAGGAAGGAAGAATGAGGATCTCTCAGTCTGGGGCATCCCTTTAGTTCCCTGAAGGAAAAAGTGGCCATCTGGCTTACCCCTGTCCCATAGCGGGCTGTCTCATAGCCATCCAGCAGGGTATCAATGAGGGCCTTGCGCACACCCTTGAAAGGAGTACTAGTGTTTCGAAGATCTAGCAGATAGGAGCGGAAATTCTTGCCCATTAAGGAACGGGGATGCCGGCCTTCAGCATGAAATGGGATCTCTATGGAGATAATAGAACAATGATACCCCCTTTCCCATTTGTTTAGTCTTTCTAATTAATTTCCCAAACTTACAAATAGGTCCAATGAGTTAGTTGGGGGGAAATTCTAAGAGAATTCAGAAGACCAGAGATATAGAGCTATGTCTGAGTGGTCATATGGTGGTGGCAATACAACTGTTAAACTATACCAACGACACACAATAGTGTCATTTTCCTATTTACCCTATTTACACATAGTTTAAGATATTAACTATGTTTTGGTAGAGATAGAGCATTTTTGACAATGGTCATATGAAAAAAATTCAAGAGCATTTCTGCCAATGGTCACATAGAAAAGAATTCAAGAACCATCTAAGTAGGCTTGGTGAAAAAGCAGATGCTGCCTGTCTTTTGTGGGAAAACAAGCAAAGTATCACCATCTAGTTCATGAAACTAAAGGTCTAGAAAGAACAAAACAAATCCAGATTCTTTGGAGAAAAATAACTTACATACATCATTTTCCTTAGGCAAAATAGTAACCCAGTACTCTCAAAACTAGGAAATTCCTACCAGCCGGAGATGTGCAGAAAGGACAAATTCTAACACATAAAGTGGGTTCCTCCCTCTCTTCCCCAGGTGAGCTTTCAGGATCCGGAACGGCTGCTGAGCAGCCCTTACCAGAGGCACGGATGGCATCCAGAGCTTTCATCCTGTATAGATAGTTGTAGCAATCTGTTAAGAAAGAGACTGGTCTCAGGTATAACCCTCAAAAGATTCTCCAAACTCCAGGAAGCTTAAAGAGCCTCCCACATCTGACATATACCCAGTAACAAGGACCCACAGCTGCTGAGTCTGCCAGCAGCTATGTTTATAACTCTGAGAGCAAAGGAATTCTGAGTTTGTGAGACTCCTCACTGAAGTGTCCTCCGAAAGTATGCCACATACTTTGATTTCCCTGGGTTTCCAGCTGTAGCAGTCTTGCGTCATCATCTGCAAGGAGCTGAGGCTCGTATTTGATATCCTGAACCCTGGAGAGTCGGATATCAATCTCCTCTTTTAAGTCCTGTTCGTGTGGAGAAAAGAATACACAGTCACTTAGCCTGTACTTTGCTTCCCATCAGTCTGGAAATGGGGCAGAGCAGGCGAACAACTAAGACAACAGAAGCAGAGAAAATGCTCACTTGGCTAATGAAATTGCCAGGTAAGACTCAAGAATTTAATAAAGAATGGGGTTGGGTTCGCTAAGAACCTCTCCAAACTGCCTATCTCTAAGCTAGATCTTTTAACCTGCCAGAATTCCTTCAAGCTCTACACCATTAACATTATTTCTGATTTTCAACTGAAATTTTGGGGGGCGCTGAGTGGCACGCGGGATCTTAGTTCCCCCAGCAGAGATCAAACCCGCACCCGCTGCAGTGGAAGCGCAGTCTCAACCACTGGACTACCAGGGAAGTTCCCTTGACAGGATTTAGAAGAATCTTGGTTAGGTGTCATAAAGAATTTCCTGAGCTGGGAAAAAATGGACATCAACTGGAGGTCATAATCTACTCTAAAAACCTATAAGATCTGTATGTGGTTTAGAAGTTTGGGAACTATGCCTACCTGGTGGACCACAGGATTTCTAGAGGCTTTCTTCTAGAGCACATTTAATTTTTTAAGTAGGTAATTCAAAAAGATACGAAAGGTGTCACCCCCACTTACCCAGAAGCAAACACTGTTAACAGTTTCATATTCATCTATCTTAAGAGGGTTGCCAGAGTCGCAGCAAGTATTTTCTTGTGACATTTAGGAACTTCTATTGTGAAATATGTCATTCATAGAATACATTTGACATATATACACACCTTAATTACAAAATTCATTAAGATGCACACCTGTATGCACTATCCAATTTATGAACTGGAATATGACCAACGACTTGGAAGCCTTGTGTGTCCACCCGATTGAATGCAACCTCCAACCTTAACTTCTCAAGTTGTATTTTTCTTTGCTGTTTTATCACATCACCCTGAGGAAGATGTTTAGCTTTGCCTGGT